AGTCGGGCGTTGTGGCGAGCAACTGTAGTCAAAGCTACTTGGGAGGCAGAGGCAGGAGACTCACTTGAGCCCAGGAGTTGGAAGTTGCTGTGAGCTATAATGCCATGGCACTCTACCTAGGGTGACAGCTTGAGGCTCTGTTTCAAAAAAAAAAAAAAAGCCGAGCATTGTGACAGGTACCTATAATCCCAGCTACTTAGGAGGCTGAGGCAAGAGAATCTCTTGAACCCAAGAATTTGAGGATCTCTTGAGCCCAAGAATTTGAGGTTTCTGTGAGCTATGATACAACAGCACTTTACCGAGGGTGACAAAGTGAAACTCTGTCTCAAAAAAAAAAAAGAGAGAAAACAAAATACTAGCTGAGCACCTGTAGTTCCAGTTATATGGGAGCCTGAGGCAAGAGGATCACTTGAGCCCAAGAGTTTGAGGTTGTTGTGAGCTATGGTGCCAGGGCATTCTACCAAGGGTGACAAAGTGATATTCTATCTCAAAAAAACAAAAACAAAAGCAAAATAAATAAATAATTTATTAAAAAACTAAAAAGAACTCTATTAAGCAAGAGCTATGTGTCAAAACATTATGCACATTCTTTTTTTTTGAGACGAAGTCTCACTTTGTCACCATCAGTAGAGTGCTGTGCGTCATAGCTCACAGCAACCTCAAACTCCTGGGCTCAAGTGATTTGCTTGCCTCAGCCACTCGAGTAGCTGAGACTAAAGGTGCCTGCCACAATGCCCAGCTATTTTTAGAGATGAGGTCTTGCTCTAGTTCAGGCTGGTCTCAAACCTGTGAACTCAGGCAATCCACCCATCTCGGCTTCCCAGAGTGCTGGGATTACAGGTGTGAGCCACCAGGTCAGGCCTTCATTATGCATATTCTAACAAATGACAAATGTGATGTTTGCAAAATTTCTGTGAGAAATTTACTACTGGCTCAGCGCCTGTGGCTCAGCCAGCTAAGGCGCTGGCCACATACACCTGAGGTGGCAGGTTCGAATCCCCAGCCTGGGCCCGCCAGACAACAATGATGGCTGCAACCAAAAGAATGGCCGGGCATTGTGGCGGGTGCCTGTGGTCCCAGCTACTTGGGAGGCTGAGGCGGGAGACTCGCTTGAGCCCAGGAGTTAGAGGTTGCTGTGAGCTGTGATGCCATAGCACTCTACCCAGGGGGATAGCTTGAGGCTCTGTCTCAAAAAAAAAGAAATTTATTACCACAGAAACTATAATTTACTCCTGTTTTGATGCTTCTATTAACAAATAGAGATGCCAATGCCTTGAACCTGCTTCAAGTCCAACATAAGAACAATGAATATATGTTCTTTTACTCATTACTGTGAGAAGAACAGATATCAAAACAAATAGAACCCCAGAGATGCTCACAGAACATTCCATGGACTGCACACAACACCCTTTGGATCTGCCTCCTGGACTAAGTACCGTGTTTCCCCGGAAATAAGACACTGTCTTATATTTATTTTTTCTCAAGAAGACACACATTTTTTCTCAAGAAGACACACATTTTTTCTCAAGGGCTTATTTTCAGGGGATGTCTTATTTTTATTAAGTATACTACAATAATCTACATTTATTCAAATACAGTTAAGTCATCTTCCGGAACCTGACAGGGGGAGCTGATCTTGTTGGCGGGGCTTGGTGCTAGTGATACAATGACCTCCTTTCCTCTAGCCATTCTCAAGTGCACAATAGGATGCCTGCTACCATGATTACCACATGTGCAAGTGCGAATGGCTTGGAGAAAGGAACTGGTCTGTGCCGAAATGCATGGTGTGGCAGATACACTGCATAGCCACACCCATCACTAGGTCTTATTATCAGGGTAGGGCTTATATTTAACAAATGCATAGAAATCCTGCTAGGGCTTATTTTTTGGGTAGGTCTTATTTTCGGGGAACACATTACATGGGGATCCAATACAAAAGACTGAGTTGTATCTCCTTAAGATAGGACAGAAGATAATGTTGACAAGAGCTAGCTAAACACTGTCTAATACTAGAGAAGAAAAGGGGCAGAAAAAAACAAGTCTTTACATGATCTTTGTGTTCCTTTTTTTTTTTTTTTTGCCCTGGTTAGAGTGCAGTGGCGTCACAGCTCACAGCAACCTCAAACTCTTGGGCTTAAGCGATTCTCTTGTCTCAGCCTCCCAAGTAGCTGCGACCACAGGTTACTGCTACAACACCTATTTTGCTGTTGTTGTTGTTGCTGCAGTTGTCATTGTTGTTTTAGCTGGCCTGGGCCAGGTTAGCACCCACCTACCTAGGTGTATATGGCTGGCACCCTACCTACTGAGCTATGGGTGCCGCCCATGTTCCTTTTTATTTATTTATTTTTTTGAGACAGAGTCTCACTCTGTCACTTTGGGTAGAGTGTACTGGCATCATAGCTCACAGCAACCTTCAAACTCCTGGGCTCAAGTGATACTCCTGCCTAAGCTTCCTGAATAGCTGAGACTACAGGTGCCTACAACGCCGGGCTATTTTGGTGGTGCAGTTTGGCCGGGGCCGGGTTTGAACCCACCACCCTCAGTATATGGGACTGGTGTCCTACTCACTGAGCCACAGGAGCCACCCTAATTTTTCTACTTCTTTTTTTTTTTTTTTTTGAGACAGAGCCTCAAGCTGTCCCCCTGGGTAGAGTGCCGTGGCATTACAGCTCACAGCAACCTCCAACTCAAGCGAGTCTCTTGCCTCTGCCTCCCAAGTAGCTGGGACCACAGGCGCCCGCCACAACGCCCGGCTATTTTTTGGTTGCAGCCGTCATTGTTGTTTGGCGGGTCCGGGCTGGGGATTCGAACCCGCCACCTTAGGTGTAAGGTGGCTGACGCCTTAGCCGGTTGAGCTATAGGCGCCGAGCCTCTACTTCTTGTAGAAATGAGATTTTACTCTTCCTCAGGCTGGTCTTGAACTCCTGAGCTTGAACAATCCACCTGCCTTGGGCTTCCCAGAGTGCTAGGATTACAGGTGTGAGTCACCAAGCCCCACCTGTGTTCCTAAATGTCATAAATTTTCTCACATTCATAAAATCTGCAAATTACCAACAATAAGAGAACCTGACTGAGGCCTCCTTGGTGTCAGGAATTCTTTTAAATGCTTCAGGTAATCTCATTTCATTTTGTCCTTTCTCCCCTTTGGTTCTTACAACAAGGCTCTGAGAGTACCTCTACAGTAGTCTGACCCCAATGGCTCAGAGAAGGAGAGGTGAAAGTTGAATAATGTCAAGGCAGGACTGAAATCTGAGTCTTCCTAAGTCCCCCGCTGGTTTTTCTCAGCACCAATGGAGGACTGGGGGATGTGAGACTGTGAGAGAGGGGTGCGTCCCAGTGGGGATCACCTGTGGCTGAGATGAACTTGTTGTAATTCTCATAGACCAGTGTCTGCATGTCGCTGTCTAGAGCCCGGATCTGCCGCACCATGTCGGTCTCACTGTCCATCAGCTGGGCCAGCGGGCACTCTCTGCGCAGCTAGATAAGTTGAATGGTTAGTGTTCAGCTCAGGGGGCACTCATGTCTCCCGATCTTGCCCCCAACTGCTAGGCTTCTGGTGCAAGAAAACTCTGACCCCACCCCTGTCAGGAATCTCAGACGCAGGACCTATAAACGGCACAGCTCAGGGTTTACTAGGTTCTTCACTGACTTCTGCAGCCACGCCTTCAAGCTTAGACCGCTCTGTCCCCCCTACATATAAATGGGAGTACCTCCCTGGCATGCAGGTTCATCCCAGCTTGGGATCTGTCAGCATTTCAAATCCTCAGGCTCAGCCTCTGTCCAGCCACGCCCCTTACCCTGGGCCTATCATAACATCAGCCTAGGAGACCTCAAATCTCCATCACCTCAGGCCAGTTCAAACCTGCACACGCCCCTTAGACTCCTGCTCTGCCCCTACTACCTGGCCGAGGGTCATCGTCTTATGCACACCTTGTAACAAAGTCGGAGGCATGATCTGGGGCGGGGAAGGGATATATCGGGGGCCCAGTTCCTACACACACACACACACACACACACACACACACCTTGTCAAGATACACTTCCGGGTCGAAATGAGCCCCGTTGAGATCAGTCGGGTCCAGGGGGTCAGGCCCCGCAGGGCGCCCAGCCGCTTCGCCCTCCGAGAGGCCGTAGTAAAGCTTCAGCATCCCGTGAGCCTTCCGTCGACGCTCTGGAGTCTCCCCCTCGGGCCCCTCCGGGGAGTCCCCAGGTGCAGACCCATGGCCTGGCCCGGCGGCTGGCGCCGCCATGGTTCCAACTTTAGCCCACGACGGTGAGGTTAAGAAGGGGATGGAGAGGAGGTGCTTCCGGGAGCCATAAAGTTGTTGTTGAAACGAGGCAGTCCTTCAGGTGAAACGTTCCCCGCAGCATTGGCTGGTCCTTTGAGACTAGAGTTCCCCCGCTCCTCTTCTCCCCGAGTGAAGAGGTTCCGGGAGAGCCCTGAGTTCCTAGTTTCCGGGACGGATTTGGTGTAATTGTCTCGGATGCCATCCAGAAGAGGGGCGGGGCAGGGTGTGGCTCCTCACGTCTACATCTCTGCGCGTAACCTGTGCCCCAGATGCAGTAGACCGATAGGAGACGCGGGGCCAGAGTGTGCCCGGGATCCTCCCCCTTGTCTTCTTACTTGGACAACTCATGTGTCCCCATTCTTAAAATTGGGGTACATACTTCACAGGGGTTTTGTGAGGACTAAATGTACGTGTACTATCCCTCTAGCACAGGGCTTCTCAAGGTCTGTTCCTCTGACTTGCAACAGAATTGCCTTCAGAATTACTCGTGGCATGTTCTAAGACTGGGCTCCTATCTGACCTATCTTCTCTCTCTTTTTTTTTTTTGAGATTGAGC